TTTTTACAGGTTGCAATTAGAGCATTATTTCTTGGATATATCTTTGGAATTGGTATTTTAGTATCAATCAATGCTCCACCATCATGGCAGGTGTTTGGCATTTATGCAACAGTATTAGCGAGTTTTCATTATACGGAATTTTTAGCTATTGCCTGGTCAAATCCAGCTGCATTGTCGATCGATAGTTTTATCCTTAATCATAGCGTAGCATATGGAATAGCAGCGTGTCTCAGTTGGATGGAGTTTATCATAGAGAGGCATTACTTCAACTTAATGAAAAGACCTTCCTTCGTGTGTTATTTTGGTCTAATGTTATGCATTTCTGGTGAAATTTTAAGAAAATTAGCAATGTGCACAGCAAAACACAATTTTAACCATCTTGTGCAAAATGAAAGAAGGAACAATCATGAGCTTGTTACACATGGTGTATATAATCTTTGTAGACATCCTAGTTATGTAGGATGGTTTTATTGGTCCATAGGAACACAGGTGAGATATCATAAATGTTTTACAATTAGGCATTTGGTTCTATACTTTCATCATTTAATTTTTAATTAACATTCATAAATTTTTATTCTAGTTAATACTTCAAAATCCACTATGCCTCTTTGCATACGCACTGATGTCATGGAGTTTTTTCCATGATCGTGTTCTGATTGAAGAAATGACTTTATTAAGTTTCTTTGGTGAAGACTACGTTCAATACCAAAGAAGAGTAGGTACTGGGCTTCCATTTATTTCTGGATATAAGATTAATTCATAGCATCCTGCGCTAGTGTAGTTATATATTTTGTAAAAAGATCTAACAGATAAAAAATAATACATTTTGTATGTTTGTAGAAGACGAGATTAGATTAATTAATCATATAAGAATTTATATTTAGAAAAATTGTGTGTATATATATATATATATATATATATATATAAAATTTTGTCTACCTTCTTCTCTATTATACGTAACTGAGAAAAGTAACACGATAATTATGGAATACGATATCCTCACGTATCATTTGCGGCAAATAGCTACGCAAGAGATATGAGTGTACTTTTCGTGCTGTCGGCGAGCC